AAATAAAGGTATTGTGCCCAACGACAACTAAGAAATAAATATTTTTAAAAAGAATGATGCTTGCATAGTCTTTAATATGATAATGAGACATATGTAAATAAAGGTTGCTGGTAGAATTCTTTAGACCTGCCTCTCCATCAAAGAGCAGTGCTCCACCTGACCCCAACTATATCCTCACAGTCTACGTGTGTGAGTCTTTATTTTTCTTATCCCCCTTTGCCCCTTGCCAGAACCTACTAGATTGACCATGCTGGTCATGGAAATTCCTGGTACCAAGGAAGGAAGGAGAGAGAGAAAGAAAGGAGACAGAAAGAAGGGAGAGAGAAAGAAAATAGAAAGCAGCATAAATTCAGTCTTGCTCCAGATACTGTCCCAGCTGACAATAACAGCTCACATTTATTAGGTACTTATTACCATCCAAGCATATATGTTTTACATATTTCTATTTATCTAATCCTCCCAATATTCCTATGGAGTAGGAACTTTAGTGGCCCCACATTTCAGATGAAGAAACTGAGGCCCAGAGAAGCTAATAAACTTGCCTGGATTGCACAGCCTGCAAGCAGAACTGCTATTAGAATTCAGGCAGCCAGGCTCCAAGGCCCATGCTCTTTACATAGTGATGCTTCAACACTTGGGCCTAAGGATCTGGCAAGGTTCCTGGCTCCTTTACTCTTTTGGGGGGGAGGGGGATGGTAATAGGGATTGAACTCAGGGGCACTTAACCTAAGCCACATCCCCAACCCTTTTGATTTTTTTTAATTTTGAGACAGGATCTCGCTAAGTTGCTTAAGTTCTCACTAAGTTGCTGAAGCTGGTCTCAAAATTGTGATCCTCCTGCCTCAGCCTCCCCAGCAGCAGGGTTTCAGAAGTGTACCATCACTCCCAGCTGGCTCCTTCACTTTTGATAAACAGAATTATTCATTCATCATCAAATATTCATTAAGCACCTACTAGGTGCCCAGTAAAATACCTAATGGTTGAAGGAAACATGATTCCACCTCTGAGCCTGGGCCTCTTAAAATCAGTCTAAAGGAGGAGGAAAGACATTAAGGACACAAACACACCAATAACTCTGAGAGCCAGGGGATTGTGTAATGGAGAACTAGACTTAGTTTGCGGGGCAGGAAAAGCTCTTCTGAGAGAGCAACATTTAAATTGAGGCCTCAATTCAATGCTGGCTCAGAGAAAATGAGGAAAGCACATCAAAGCATATGCAAAGGCCCTGAGGTGGGAAAGAGATGCTGATATTTAAGTCAGAGAAGGCAGCCAGCGTGGCTGAACCGTGAAAGCAAAGAAGCCAGCTCATGTGGGACTGTCCCACATGAGCAACGAGGAGCCTTGGGGAACCACCAAAAGGCCTTGAACAGATTTTTTAGTACGATTTGCATTTTCGAAAGACGGTTCTGCTGTATGTAGGGAGCTGAATGGAGATGAGCTCAGCCGGAGAGAGGTGTTATCATGTAAGGCATTAGGCCTCGTTTGGCACAGGGAAGGTGCTCAACAGTGGAGCTGGTTTTCCAGCCTTTCCTCCTGTCCCAGGTGGGGGAAGTGGGCACCCCCCTGGCATGCCACCCTAGGCCAACCGCCTCATTCCCCAGGAGCAGAGGGTCACTTCATTTGGGAACAGGCGCTTTCATGGTGGGCTAGCCAGGAAGAGGCCAGGGAGCACATGCACACCACCCTGGCCTGGCGCATTCACAGGGAGCCCCTGAGGATGGGGCAGACCGATTCCCACCCACAGGGGAGGAACAGGGAGGACCAGCAGGGTGCCCTGGCCCTGCCCCGGCCTGAGGCTGACCCTGGGGGTGGGGAAGCCAGGGTCACTAGAAAGAGCAGAACCTGGGGGAGTAGGTGGGTCTCATCTTTATGCACCAGCACTTTCTCTGCCCCGCCCTTGTCCCCGCCCATCTGCTGACACAGCTCGGGTGAAAGTGGTTTCTCTGCGGCCTGCATTCCCTTCCGTGATCTGCTTCCCTCCGCAGAGCAGATCCTCCATCTCTGATCATTCCTTCTCCTCCGCGGGCTCCTCTTTCTCTGCGGCTTCCTCCCAGGGCAATGCTCCCCAGAGCTCTGCTGGGGCCCCACCCTTCCAGTCCTGTGTCTCCTCCTGCCCCGAGGTGCTGCCTCCTGCTGGCCGTGGGTGGTCAGTGCGCTCCCCACTGCACTAGAGCTTACCCACTAGAACCAGCCTCTGTGGCCGATCTCCGCCTCTCCTGCCCACAGCCGCTTCTCGTCCCGCAGTCCTGCTTCCTACCAGTGCACCCACCACCTGCCCGGTCACCATCACCAGGCCCGAGCCTGCCAGTTGTACTTACCAGCTGTTTTCCAAATCTAGCCCTCCTCTCACCTGTGCCTTAAATCACTGCAGCAAGGACAGACGGCGGCTTCCATAGTGACATTCGCAGGTTTCCATACTGAGAATTTGCCCACTCACTCAAGTTTGTTGGTGACCCCAAAATCGATACCCGAGGCACTTTGTGGCCATGCACCACAGGAGAAGAGGTGAGGAATTTGCGCACCTCCCCTGCCCCCATGCGGTGGACTGTCCCCAGCTGAGGTGGCCCAACTGCCTTCTCTCTGCTCTCTCTGCTCTTGTCTGGTAAATACGCGTCTTGCCGGAGGTCCTTTAGTACTACATTTTTCTCATTTTTGTGCTTTTGGTTGGTGATTTTATTGCTTCAAATGGCCCCAAGCACAGAGCCCGAAGCACTGTGGGTGTTCCCAAGCCCAGGGAGGCTGGATGCCCCTCCGGGAGGAAACCCATGGGGTGGATGAGCTCCGTCCAGGCCTGAGCTACTGTGGTGCTGGCCTCAGTTAATGTTAATGAATCACCGATCTCTATTAAGTAGGATGTCATTAAACAGAAACACGGAAGACAGGGCTACGTATTGATCAGCTGGAAACCTTGTAAACAGGCTTACAGGAACTTAACCTGGTACTTCCCCCGGGAGCTGTGGTCACTGTGTGCTAACTTGGTACTCACGGTAACTGCCTTGGCTGATGAGAGCCCAGGTTACCAATGTGTCCACGTCGCTTCTCGGCTTGGACCGCCCCATGTCTCTCTTTGCACCCAACATGAATCCAAATTCCTTGGCATGACATCCCAGGTCCTCCACAGCCCAGAGGCCCCTGCCGACCCACCAGGCACATTGCCAAGTGGTTCCCCCACCGTGGCCCCAGCCTCCCTCCTCCCTCACATTTCCCAGAGGCCCTCTGCACACTGTCCAGGCCTCGAAGGCCCCTCCTCCTGAGCTCCTCTTGGTGAACTCCTACACATCCTTCAAGACCCAGCCTGAACGTCACCACTCCGGTGTCCCTCTGACAGAAACTGACACTCGTTCTTTGTACCTTTGATAGCTCTTCTCACATATTGTAACTGATCTGTTAAGGTGTCCTTCCTCCTGTGTATGGCAGTAGTTTTTTGGGAATGGGGGGTGTACATGATTCTTCAGGCACTGCTCTGCCACCAGGGGTAAAGCCGTGAATCAAAACCAATCCCTAGGAGTGCACCACGGTGCCCACAGGGTAGCCCGTCTGTGAGAGCGCATATGCACGGGGCTCACGGTGCCTGCTGTGGACACTCTGTGGACTTCACTCCAGCCCCATGTCATATCTGCTGCCAGGCCTAAGACCAACGGACTGCACCTGCGCACAGGCCAGGAGCCTCCCCAGGTGCTCTGCCCCCTCCCACAGCCCCAAGATAACATCTGCCCAAACGAGATGATCTCTAGTGAGCAGGTCCAGCTCTCCCTCCTTTCTCCTCTGCCTTCCCCACATCTCAGAAGAAAAGGTGTAGACATTTTTAAAAGGAAGAGGAAGTGACATTTTTTGAGTACCCCTCCCCCCCGCCACGTGCCAGGCCGGGCAGTTTGGGAGGCAGCTGTGGGAAGGACTTCCTTTGAGTCAGATGCCCTGCTGAGCACTTCCGGGCCCAGGCTGCGGGATCACTGCACCCACCCTATGAGGCAGGCGATATTTTCCCTTTTTAGGGCGAAGTGGCTGAGATGCCACAGCAAGAAAGTGGCAGAGCCAGGACTCAGGCCTCACCCTCTGCGCATCCAGTCACTGCACATCACAAGGTCTTCTCAGGACACCCCTCGTGGGAGCAGCATGTCTCTCTGTACAGGGGAGGAACCAGATAAATCACCCAGATCAAAAACCAGGAATGAGATTTAGAACCTGGGTGTGAGATCCAGACACAGGAGTGTGCACTCCAGAGGAGGAGATGTGGACTCCAGCCGCGGAGACACTGGGCCCAGACTGGACCCCTCCAAGGTTCACAGGAGTTGGCCAGTTAAGGAGGAAGTGGGAAGAATGGCATCCTGGGGGTGGGGGGGACAATTGGGAGAGACCAGAAACAAGAGTCAGAGGCGTAGGATTTCCAAAGCCCCTGGGCCCCTGAGGAAGGAAGGCCACTCAGAAACAACCAGAGAGGGACAAGAACCTGAACAGCAGCCCACAGAAGCCAGAGGAGGCCTAAGAGTCAGCAGTGAAGCATTTCAGAAGAATGAGAGGGTATGACAGGCTTTAGATGCTCCCATACAAGCCCCGGGATACCATGAGCAGAGGGTCATAGTGGACCTATGTTTCTCCCCTGAGAAGCCAGGATTCTGGGTTCAACACCCTCAGAGGAGCGAACCCCTAAGTTTTCTGAGCCTCGTGAGAGGCTGTCTGGGAGGCTGAAGCCCATCCAATGGCAGTGCCGCCTGCAGCTCCTCCTCCCGCAGCAAGTCTGCCACACCCAGGCTGCTCTGGAGGCTCTGACCCAGGAATGAGCTTCCCAAGAAACCCTCCTGACATGAAGTCTGGCTGCTTGCTGAATCCCACCGCCCGCTGCCAGGAGCAGCCACCAGGAGAGCCCTGAGGAGCAGACACTCAGGTAGAGGCTTCTGAGTCCAGATGTGCCTGTCCCCAGCACACCTGGCAGGGTGCCCTGTGGGGAGGTGGGCTGAACACAGGGGCCACCCCGGGTCCTAATCGCCGGGGAATGAAGGGCTCCCCCCTCTTCCCTAGGCTCTTCCTGATCTCCCCAGCCAGGTGTAGGTGGGAGCCAGGAGCTGAGTGGGAGAGGGGCTGAGGGGGGGCCTAGAGCTCAGCTCTGCCTGGGCCT